TTTGTGGATCACACAAAGTGTTGTTCCGTGCGGGAATCGAACCCGCGACACGTTGCACGGCAGGCGGTTGCCCAGCCACCGCACCAACCGTGCAGTCAAAAATAATAACATTATACAATGTCAAGGTATTTCCATATTATGTTATGTCGAGTAGGTATAATGAATCCGTCATACATTTCGTTTGTATAGGGCAGATCGACGGTTCCCACATGAAATAAAATTATTTTATTTTGGACTCTAAATATTCCGTCACTGAGTAGAAGCATTCTTTTATTAGGTATATCTTTAGTCGTTTTTGAAATACTAATATTGATACACACTGTAAGTAGTACGTATTTTCTGAAATTTTATCAACAGCTTCTTCATAAATAGTTTTGTCATGCAAGTTTTGCTTGAAGATATCACCGAGAGGACGCGTTCCACCTTACCTTAACAAACACAACCTACTGAAAATGAAGTCACGTCGTAAGCTCCACCTAGCTTGACTTCTTTTTGGCGTAATCAAAATTAAGTGTCCCTTGTACTTGCACTCAAAATGATACTGGGTTGGTGCTCATCCAAAGTGGGAGGCTAGGCAGTGTGCACAGCATCTAGCTATGCCTCAACACAAAACAGCAGCATTTCGTTACGCAGCGTCAAAATGTTGGAATAATATACCTCCACCTATCAGAGACTCGCCAAGTATAGCTTTAGATACAATCTAAAAAGTTTCAATTTAACTTCGCAAAAAGATAGTTGAAGCTGCAAGTAATATTGATTTATCTATTACTAGCTTTTACCCGCGGCTTCGCTCGCGTCACAAAAATATAAAAAGTAGCCTATGTGACACATACCAATACACACAGCGCCATCTATTGGTATAGATGGTTAATATATATGGTGATACTTTTGTTTTCCCTCGGGAATATCAATTTTTCGGGATAAAAAGTACCCTATTATTTAATCCGGACTTCTAACTTTACGTCTGCAAAAATTCAAAGCAATCGGTTTAGTAGTTACGGCGTGAAAGCAGAACAAACAAACACTCCAACTCACTTTCCGATTAGTTAAGTTAGTAATTAATTAGAATTATTATAATTATATTATTATATTATTAAAATTATTAGTAAGTAATTAGAATGTTAGTAAGGATTTAACTCAAGCTAATTTAGTGTATTAATAATGCAAAACACAGATAAACTGTGTCCTTTCTATATTCTGCATTCTGCATTGCATCCTGTCCTGTGTATTATTTAATTACATTTTTCTTTACTTATTATTTTGTTTCATGTAGCTTCTGCCCGCGACTTCGTTCGCGTGGAAAAGTGACTTCTAGCAGATGTTTGGTTTTACCCACATAGATTTTCGGGACATTCTCGCTCCCGCGGGACTCCCGGGATAAAAACTATCCTATGTCCTTTCTCGAGTTTCAAAATATGTCTGGACCAAATTTCATCCAAATCGGTTCAGTAAGTAGTTTAGGCGTGAAGGAGAGACAGACAGACAGACAGAGTTACTTTCGTATTTACAGAATTGGATTGAAATAAAATAAACACAGAATTTTGAGGAAAGCTTACAGCAACAGATTAAAACAACTCAAAAACCGATTACTTGTTGATTTTCAGCGCGCCACAAAACGTAAGTTCTAGGCAATCTCCTATTACAATATTTTTTCAAGTGTGCCCGCGACTTCGTCCGCTTGGTCGTGGATATGGAAGTGATATTAAACTGTCAAACACCAAGCGGTCACCGGTGACCGCAACCTATTGTTCTATAATTGTGTCTACAAAACCGGTACTCGACGAGTTAATAAGGATAGAAATTACAACAGTGCTTCTCTGTACACAACATTAGTTGTATTGCCTTCTGGAATCAAAGCATATCAGTTTCTGGGATCGCTCACGCGCGACAAAGCTACCTCAAGCTGATCGTGCGAAAAACAGCTAACTGTTAAATCCAAACCTGAAACCTTTAGCGTTTGTACTGGGAATTGGACCCGTTTGAATGAAAATGGGAAGTTATTAGGAATCAAAGGGATTTGAGATTATCCCAATTTGTTTACTTTAACTTAAAATAACTTTTCTGTTTGTACGTCTAGTGGTACAAAATAAATTTTGTTGTATATACGAGTACTCCTGCAGTTATTTAATCTAACACGTCTTTGTTTGATATAAATGATTTAAAAAAAAAATCTTACAAGCTTGCACAGTTTAATTTTTCAGTTTAACTTCTAAGTTAATTATTTTGATTGTATAATGTCTAGATGGAGTGTCAGTTCACAAAAAACGGCCCAATAATTTGCAGTGAACTGTTCAGTTTTACTAAGAAAAAACATATGTGACCAACCGCGACACTTGGGACGAAGGGTTGTGTTAGTCCACGCGGCAAACACCCTGCATTATTATATCATTCACGCGTGTCCGTACAATACTGGATTATGTCAAGTTCCCCAAAGTGCACGCAGACACGCTTCTCCAGTTTCAAAACTGCATGGTTGTCACAGTGGATGGGCAACTAACTGCTGCGCAATGAGTTGTGGGTTCAATTGCCGTACGGTACAATTCTGTGTGTTATTCACAAATTGTTATTTTGGGTCTAGGTGTAATTTGCATCCCGGTGCCCCCTTCAAGTGCGGATGGTGGCCACCGGGGAGGTTTTAGTGAGGTAAAAACCCCACACTCCCTAGTCTTTTTCCCCAAAAAGCTAGGCGCCTTTTGAAGGTTTCCCACCGTCATCAAAAAAAAAAAAAAAAAAAAGGTGTAATTTGCATGTGAATTTGTATATTTGTAGACGGACACACGATACAGGAGAAAATTTTAGTGCTGAATCTGTAACTCTTCACCTGGAACTATTGTCAGCACTTTGCACATATACGACCTTCGTCATCATCAGTCCGTTTCCGGCCACTGCGAGATATTTGAACGACCTATTTGTTTCAGTTTGATGCGCACGTGGGGCCAGTGTGGCGGGTGGAGCGCAACCCTGGCTTTCTGAAGAACTTCCTGACAGTCGGCGACTGGACGGCGCGCGTGTGGAGTGAAGAGTGCCGCGAGTCCTCTGTGTTGTGGACGCCGCCCGCGCGCCACCGGATCACTAACGGCACCTGGAGCCCCACGCGGGTGTCGCTGATGCTGTTGACCCAGTACGACGGCAACCTTTCTATCTGGGACTTGCTGCGGCGCCAGCACGAGCCCGTGCTCACCATGCAGGTGTGCGAGGAACCGCTGGTGACGGTGCGCTCACACGATACAGTCAGTATCTTTATAAATCTGCTGCCGAATTGAAATAACGAAGCTAAAAAGAAAAATTGGTTTTACAAGACTAAGACTAAGACTAAGCGTGGTAATCCCAATAAACCCAATCACCACGGGTACGGCGTGTATCTGTATAAAACGGTACGGCGCTGCGCCGTGATTACGACACGAGTCGTGCACGCAGCACGCAGCACGGTGTCGAGTACGGCGCCGCGGACGATACAAAAAAGTAAAAAAAATCTTAAAAACTTAATATAGTAATTCTAAATTAATCAAAAATATCTTACCCCCACATATTTTAAGTGCTTCATATTTACTTCCTTCATTCCTTTTTTTTAATTCATCGTCTTAACAACAACAAGAGAAGAACTCTTTGAGATCCTTATCCAGACAAGCACTTGCGCGCAGGCTTACGAAATACCGACTGGCAGCTCATCGTCAGCGGCGCGGCCACGGCACCGAGCTGCGGCACGACGTCACGTCGTATCACGGCGCGGCGTGCCCGTGATGATGGGATCACTTACCACTTATTTTACGGGCTGCACTGAAATATATTAATTATTGTATTTTATAATTTTACATTTTTACTTCAATTAGTACCTAAATTAGAAAGGACGGTGGGCAAAATGGATGGGCGACGCGCCCACGTGTGTCACAGTTCTAACTACTACTGTTTGAAAGGTATGACAGTATTGGTTCACTGTGCCAAAACTCATCAAATTCTGTCCCGGACATTTATTTTAAGTCGGTTAATTAATTAATAGACTAAAACCTTCTCGTAAGTGTAACAAACACTTTTCTGAAAACTGCGTCAAATCAACTGAACATTGTCGCGGGTCACTCACGTGAATGGAATGAGAAAAGCTCTACTAGTTTCGAACCACAGAGGGGTTCTTCGTCATGAGCAGCGTGCGCGGTCGCGGTGATGTCGCGCAGCCTAAGATGTGAAATACGCATCAAATCAGTTTAGCCCATCGTGAGATAATCGCGCACAAACAAACATACATATACCTATGTATATATATATACAGGTCAAACTGAGAACTGAGAGTGTCTCCGTCTGCTGCTGACACGAACTGAAGGCTGCTGTCTCCGCCTGACGCAGGTCTGTCTGCTCACCGAACTTAGAAGTTTATATTCAAATCAAACCAAATTGTTTTATTTCTAAACTTGGTCATAATTACAGAAAAGTGTTTCGGGAGGTACCTATTTTTTAAAGGGCGGAAGGAAACGCCCGGGTGTCATCACTGAGAGGACCGTCCGGAGGACATGATGGAGCATTCAGTGCCGGTGTGCCAGTGCCCTGCTTGGGCTGAGTACCACCGTGTCCTCACTGAAGTACTTAGTCTGTGACGGCGACCTCTCGGTTTCGGCTCTGGTTTTGACCATCGCGGGGAGCGAGGGAAGCTGAGATGCCGTCTGCCGATGCCTTTTCCGAAGTAGTCATACTAGCTGAGGAGGCGGGGTCCGTGAAGAAAGGAATCTCCTCACGCCCCAGCCATCGCGGGAGTGTCTCCGGGCGTCCGGTACAGCGAGACGATCTTCGGCCACACCGTAAGCATGGGCCTGCGGACACAATCAAGTAGCTTGCCGTCTGATCAGAACCAGAACGAGACCCCGCGTACGGCGCGTCACATTTCGCGTGCACCTTGAAAGAGCCATCAAACCACCACAAATGCCCGATGCAAAGCGGCAGAGGACTTAACTGGTTGCCTGGGCTCCGGCTCGAAAATCAGGAGTAGGACTAGGGTGTTTTTAGTTAATAACAGTATTTCTAGGTGTCACACTAGATGATAGATTACAGTGGCTAAATTACCCTACAATATTTTACTGATAACTCTTAAAACCTTGCCTATCACCTGGTCCCATTTGATCGCCGACTTCAGGGACACCCTGTTTAACTTGCTTTGACTTTGACTTAATTTATTATGTCTAACATTTAACACATAATCAAAGATTTCTGCACTTTGGACAATCGGAACTGCTGTATAGCTAACTTTTATTTTACCTCTCGTATTAAAGTTATGTCGACCTCTTCTGTTTTCTGTCGCATATAATATTCCCGTAGGCTCGTAGATATATGAATTAAGAAGGCCTGTAATGACATTATTATCGTCTTAAATAGTTCCCTCAGAGAATCGCGACGGGGTAAGTTATATATGGCACGACGGGCTCGCTATTGGAAAATAAAAATCGATTCTACATTCGCAGCTAGTTTTCAAACGTGGGCCTTATTGGGGATCGGGCCTGATTGCATGCATAAATGTACCACTTGCCTGCAGGGTTCACTGCTCACATGCGGCAGTCAGAAGGGGAACATTTACTTGCTGGAACTGTCGCAGAACCTGGCCACGAGTGACAAGAACGATAAGCTGCTGCTCACCGCGGTGAGTGCGCGCGTCGAGTGTGTTTGTGGGTGTATGCACGTGTGTGTGTGACGGTACGTCTGTGCAGGTGTTGGAGCGGGAGAGCAAGCGCGAGCGCATCCTGGAGGCGCGCCTGCGCGAGATCCGTCTGAAGCAGCGGCAGGCGGAGGGCAGCCCGGTGCACTCCGTCAGCGACATGGAAGCTACACTCGGCGACAGAGACCTGAACGAGGCGGCGCAGGAGTTTATGCAGATCACCCGCAAGGAGTTCGCTGCATTGTAACGGCCACCTGAAACTCGAGTTTGTGAATATCCTGGTATTCAGGGTAGGGATAGCAGATGTATGTTAATGTTTGTACCTCTGTCACGCAAAACCTGCTAAAATTTGTCAAAGAGTTAGGTATATGATTACTTAGACATATCTTACATAGGTATGCTACCTATACTACTTTTTATCATGAGAACGCATACACCTTATTTCAATTTTCATGGTTTTCCTGCACCACCAACAACACGTGTGGAACAATAGCCCTTCTCAATACTTCTGTCTGTTTGGAAGTTTTTTTAGTGAATCCTTTAGAATTTAGATAGTTAATGATAATTTGTTATGTATAATTCTTAGATCGATAGTTGTTATAATAATACCTGCGCTAATTATTTTTAATAAGTATTTTTAGTTTTTAATAAATAAGTTTATGATTACTTGGATAACTATTACTTAATATTTAACAATATTGTCTCCAATAGAGGTATATTTTAGACTGTTACATTTTGTATTATTAACTTGCTACTCCCGCGCGGTGTCCCCGCCCTGCTCGGCTACTTTTGATGGCAGTGTGATGTTTTATGGCCCATAGCCATCCTTAATAAAAGCACTACCGAGCAGAACAATAATTTATTTAAATCGGACCAGTAGTGCCCGAGGTTAGCGCATACAAACTAACAAACTCTTCAACTTTATATTTACAACAGCACGTATATATAAGGTGTTAATAAAGTAACTCTAGGAAATCTAAGGTTTTGTTGTAACATTAATTCCATAATTAATCACGAAAAAATAATTTAACAAAAAGCTACCGTTCTAAAGTTATTCCACTATTTGTGTTACACGTAAACAGCCTAATATGCGCGCCGTACGGCGTACT